TTAGATCCTTTCACCATCTCATAAGTACTATATGAATACTCAAAGATAATCATGGAACATTAAACTTATACTATGTGTACATCCAAAAATATATTGTATCGCATGTATGCCATGTGAATATTAAAAAAACAACATAGAACATCACATGTATACCATGTGAACATCAGGAAAATACATCTAGAACATCACATATATACTATATGAACATTACAAAATATAACACACAACATCACATGTGTGCTATCTGAACATCACGAAATACATCTTAGAACATTACATGTATACCATATGAACATAAGAAAAATACGTCTAGAACATCACATATATACTATGCGAACATCACAAAATATAACACAAAACATCACATGTATACTATGTGAACATCATAAAATACATCATAGAACATCACATGTATATTACATGAACATCACATGTATATTATGTGAATACCACAAAATATATAATAGAACATCACATGCATACTACGACATAAACATTACATTTATATCATGTGAACACCACAAAATGTATCATAGAGCATCACATTTATGCTTTTATAAACTTCTCAAAGTACACTAGTGAACATCACATTTATGCTATGTGAACATCTCAAAATATACTAGAGAACATCACATGTAAACTACCCAAACATCATGTGTATAATCAGAAATACAAGAAATCAGAAAAGCAAAACATAAAAATGAAAGGAATAATGTAATTTAAATAATTAATTATAGTAAATAAAAGAAGAAAACAAATGAATAATTTAAATATAAAATAAAAATAATAAAATATAGAACAAAACATAAGGAGAAATAAAACTAATAAAAAAGAAAATAAAAAATACATAAAAATGAATAACAAAAGATAAATATGTAGATAATAAATAAATAAATAACTAAAAGATAAATGAATAAAAAAATAAATAAAATACAGAAAAAAAGTTCATAGAGTAAATGAAAGAAAGAAAGGAAAAAAAGAAAGAGAAAAATATAAATAAAACAATTGATTAGAATAAAATAAAGGGAAAAAATGAAAAATAAAATACTAAAAGATGAAAAGAAAATAAAATACCTCAGAAAACAAAAAAGAAAAATGAAAAGAAAAACAAAAAAAGAATGACAAAGAGATAGAAACATCAGACAACTAGTATGTGAATATAAGAGAGAAATAAGAAAAGAAAAAAGAAAAGAAAAGGAAAAAGAAAAAGAAAAAAAGAAAGATAAGAAAATTAAAAAAAGGAAAAAGAAAAGAAAAAGAAAAAGAAAAGAAATAGAAAGAAACAAAAAACAAAAGAAACTAACGTAGAAGTTAAGAAAAGAAGAAATATAAAAAAAAGAAAAAAGAGAGAGAAGCTAACTACTAGCCAACTTAGAGTTAAGGAAAAAAAGAGAAATAGTAACAGTAATAAGGGGGCAAAGAGAAAACTGGACGCCGCACATCCTAGAGTTACTGCACTTCAATAAAAAGTTCATAGAGTAAATGAAAGAAAGGAAGAAAAAAAGAAAGAGAAAAATATAAATAAAACAATTGATTAGAATAAAATAAAAGGGAAAAAATGAAAAATAAAATACTAAAAGATGAAAAGAAAAATAAAATACCACAGAAAATAAAAATGAAAAATGAAAAGAAAAACAAAAAAAAGAACGACAAAGAAATAGAAACATCACACAACCAGTATGTGAATAGAAGAGAGAAATAAGAAAAGAAAAAAAGGAAAAAAACAAAAGGAAAAAAGAAAAAGAAAAAGAAAGATAAGAAAAGGAAAAAAAGAAAAGAAAAGAAAAGGAAAAGAAAAATAAAAAGAAAGAAAGAAAAAAGAAAGTAACGTAGCAGCCTGCCGAAGTGAAGAAAAAAAGAAATATAAAAAAAGAAAAAGAAAAGAGAAAAGCTACTAGCCGACCGAGAGTTAAGGGAAAAAATGAGAAATAGTAACAGTAATAAGGGGGGAAAGAGAAAACTGGACGCTGCACTTCGTGAAGTTACTGCGCTTCGTGGGCTGGCTGGTGGGCCGTCTCTGTTTACTCCGTACTCGCACGGACGCGCGGGAAACATCGGACACGGGAAACATCAGCGCTCCGCTCCGGTCCGAACGTTCGGACCGGAAGATTTCCGGAAAATATGTCTGTGGATGGCAAAATCCTCGGTAGACTGAGTATAATTTGGACTCGTCCGAGCAAAAGATAAAAGATGAAAAAATTCGGCCCATGATGACTATGCTATCTACTAAAAACGGGCCGTCAGAAAAGTAAGGAAAAATTGGCCGACGTTCAAGATCACTATCAACCCAACAGGAATCCATCCTTGTCCGATGAGCTCCTGACCTCTTGTAGAAAAGGATTTTCAACTTGGGTGCGCGCAAGCTCGCTGCCGGCGGTAATGGTAAATTGGTAATGCAACATTAGCATCGCCGCGCGAGGGCGTGCACCGTACTCCTCACGGTGCTGGCGCGGGCTCGTCTCGTGCAGTGCAGGAGGAGGTCGTTGCTGCTCGGTGTCGGTGGGCTCGCGGCTTACCGCCTGGGGTGTGGCGACGGTGCTCGGGGACGGATCGCAGGCGGAGGGGAGCGCGCGGCCGGTGCTCGCCGTCAACAATGAGATTGCACCTGCGTTGTGGGGACGAGAGCTTTCTGCCCGGCAGGTATTTGGCGGAATGACCATGATCAACCTGTTCGCTTGCTTGTAAATGATCGTAAATTTCTAGTCAGGAATAGTGTTTTTCTCTCATACCAAACCAGCCAGCAGTAAATAATCCACGATACGATACGGCCTCCCAATCAGGCTGCATACAAGCGGCCCGCCCAGTGAGGAGCTCCGTTCGAGTAGCATGCCTGACAGGTGTTCAACGAAATGCACGCAAGCTTGATGGTGTGTCGTTCCTGTTCGAGCCAAGCTAGCGAGGCACGGCAATGATGGCGGCAGAGGCCGTTGCTCGAGCTGACCTGGGCGATGTGCAATACTGGGGGCCTGTTTAGTTCCCCAGATTTTCTGAATTTGACACTATGTAAAAAGAAGATTTCCCGTCACATCAAACTTGCGGTACATGCATGGAGTACTAAATGTTAACGAAATCAAAAACTAATTGTACAGTTTGGTTGTACTTTGCGAGACGAACGTTTTGAGCCTAATTAGTCAACGATTGGATAATTATTACCAAATAAAAACAAAACGCTACAGTGTATCTACAGTAACGCCGAATCCGGCCTCCAACTAAACGTGGCCTGGATACCAGGCCAGGGTATGCATCCCAATGCCATGCTGACAAAAGTTGGACTACGGGTAGCCAGCTTGCCAGTGTAACAGGTGTGTGCCAGCTGCCCTGCTGTAATCCTTTGTCAACAAATGCCAAAATGAACACGCTTCCTATCATGTCCACAACCTTAAGCCAAAAGATTCTTTCCATTACTACTTACTATGAAATTGCCAAATAAAAGAAGTATTTGGCGTTCGATTTTCATGTTACAACTTGGGAGGACAGAAGAAAAGAATTTGTATTTGAAAATCTGTCATGCAAAGCGCACTTCTGTTCACGACCACTATATAAAAACAAGTCACTCGTCGTCCCTCTTGTACTCAGTGACATTATTTTATTATGCAACTTGGGTTTCTTATGCTAAATATGATGAGGCAACTGGTGCAGATACACGTGGGCTTAAATATCATCATGAGTTCAGCAGGACTCACCAACTGCTCCATTAACCTATCTGCAGTGCTTAAAACAATTAGAGGATAAAGATTCAAGAAATCCTGCAGAGACACTTATGCATGTACTATATATTTCCTTAAGAGAATTGTCAAGTAACTACATACTAAATTAATATGGTACAGTAGAGATTGTAGTGCCAAGTTGGCACTGGTTTAAGGTATTAGTTAGATACGTCTTCACTACGTGGTTATCCTTTATACCACAAAACATACCTGGGGACTGGGGTTGATGGATGACCGTGAGTTGATCTATCATTCTAAACAACAAATGAACCTCAAACTATGTCATAATTAGTGACCATATGGTGGTTCTAAAAGGCTGTCAAAAAGAATATTTAAGGGTTTTAAGGACAGTATTACCATGTGATCAAGGTCAAGTCTCCCATGTAAGGTCAACTAAAAGGACATGCATTATGCATTATTGTAAACTGAAGTACACTCCTTTTGACTAAAAATTTCATAGCAGGAAAAAATATTTTGGCTTTTTGTTGAAGTTCAGTTAAACATGAAAAGACAAATAGAATGAAATGGAGCACAAAAGAAACTGGCAGAAATGAAATGATTGTGTATTTTTGAAGCCCATCCTACAAAGCAAAGCATACACTGCATCATAAAAGAAATATATTGTTAGGATAGTAACGTGAAGAGAGGCAGAGGAAGACCGAAGTTGACTTAGGTAGAGGCAATAAAATGAGACTTGAAAGGATGGAATATACCCAAAGATTTAGCCTTATATAGGAGTGCTTAGAAGACAGCTATTCACGTGCCTGAACCTTGATTGCTTCTGCTGAGTTTCAACTCTAGTCTACCTCAACTTGTTTGGGACTTAAATGCTTTGTTGTTGTTGTATTGATTCATAGGTCCTTGTATGAAATATATTATTCTTGTGTCATAATTTGAAAATTCCTTCTTATCATTGGGTGTGAATGCAGAAAATCATGACCTGAATCTTATAAAAAGAATGGGAGCTCTTATGCGGTCAACTACAAGAACTTCAATAGAAGATGAGTAGATAACACCTTACTTCATAGAATAACCAATATTTTTTCTTTGATTGTTAACACTAAAGTTTCTATCAGTTTGAATTGGTCATGACTAGGAGTTGGGGTGCCTTTATGTGACTGCAGATTTTCTATCATCTCCCTTTACTTTATCTTCTTAACCTTTCCCTAATATCTAGTGGAGGTGTATCCAAAGACCACGACCTGTGCATATAGCTCATCTCCAAACTGATCTTCAAATGCTACAGCCTTCAGAGACAACGGGAATTTTCTTTGCAAGCTTGAGCTCAACTCTATGGAGTCCAGAGAGCAGCCTAGCGGTGACCATCTGCCTGGAAACTCCGCCCTTGAGCAACAAACGCCACACCAAGGCCAAAGTGACAATAATCCAGATGCTGATGAAGTTGAGCTCCTATGGAAGCTAAGGAAGTACTTGATCCTGATGGCTATCCTAGCTGCTGCCATAACATATCAGGCAGGGCTGGCTCCGCCTGGGGGATTCTGGCAAGACAACCAGGATGGCCACACTGCAGGTGACATCGTGCTGAGAGTTAGCTACCCGAAGCGGTACCATATTTTCTTCTACTGCAACACAACAGCATTTGCGGCATCACTGATTGTCCTGATATTGCTCCTGGTTAGGGAGCTGAACCGCAATGCAGTTTGGCTTTGGCCACTACAATTCGCTATGGTATTGGGCTTGCTTGGGCTCATGGGGGCCTATGCTGCCGGGAGCTACAGGGAGGTGAGGACTTCAGTTTACATTTGGGTATTACTTGTTGGCATCTTCGCATATGTCACACTCCGTGTCATATTCTTCCGGCATATGGCACCTAAATGGCTGCGGGATATGTTCATGGGTATCCGGAGTCTCTGGAAGGATTTCCTGGGTAAAATTTTCAAGAACGCACAGAGCAGGTCAGATGAGCAGGAGCCTTCTGACAAGATGGAGGAATTGGAGCAAAATCATAGTTTCTTACTAGTTCTTGCCACATTAGCAGCATCAGTGACATATATTGCAGGTCTAAGCCCACCAGGTGGCTTCTGGCCTGACAACAAGAAGCCTCAATATCTTGCTGGTGACCCAGTGCTGCTAGAGCACCACCCCTGTAGGTTCAAGGCATTCTTGGTCTGCAATGCAACATCTTTTGCTGGATCCCTTGTGATCATCATCATGCTCCTCAGTAATACAGCAGTGGATCATGTTGTCAAGTCAAATGCTCTGTGGTTGTGTGTGCTTGTGAGCCTAGTTGGGCTTATGGGGGCTTATGGTGCTGGGAGCTGCAGGGAGGTCTGTACATCTCTCTATGTGTTCTGTCTTGTTGGTGAAGTTTTGCTCTACCTCTTCCTCCAGTGGATCGAACCTTTTGTGACAAAGCCAGCATGTGTAGAGAAGTCCATTGGATGGATGAGGGAGAAGAAGAATGAAGTGCTCTATAAATTGTGCTCTTTTATTGAGAACGGGAGTGGGATTCCAAACAATGACAGAGATTCTACCCTGTCAGGGCCCACTACACAACATCCATCCAACAAAAGCATGTCAAGCATTTCTGGTGATGCAAAGGATGACCTACAGAAATTGCACACATATCTCCTATTGCTTGGCATCCTTGCTGCCACCGTCACTTATCAAGCTAGGCTCAATCCACCTGGTGGCTTTTGGGTAGACAGTGTTGATGGGCATATTGCAGGGGACCCAATCTTGGAGGCCATGCACCCCAGACGTTACAGTGCATTCTTCTATTGCAATGCTACGACATTTGTAGCATCTTTGGTGATCATAACCTTACTTCAGAGCAAGCTGATTACCATTGGTGCTATTAAGCACCACATATTGCAAACAACCATGATACTGGATCTCTTTGGTCTTATGGGGGCCTATGCTGCTGGAAGCAGCAGAAAGTTCTCGACATCTGTCTATGTGTTCATCTTAATGCTTCTTGTTTTCATCTATGTCATACTTCATATTCTGCTATCTGTGGCTCTGAAGACACGACTGAATTGGATAATAAATCATTTTAGAAGAAATGATACAATTGATAGTGATGATGAAGAGAAGAATTTGGAAAAACAGCGTAAGTTTCTTATGTTACTTGCAGTACTTGCAGCTTCTGCCACATATCAGGCTGGCATAAACCCGGGTGGCTTCTGGGCTGACAATAATGGTGGCCACCGAGCAGGTGACCCAGTGTTCCTTGATGAGTTTCCGCTCCGCTACAAGGTTTTCTTCTATTTCAATGCCACTGCTTTCGTGGCATCCCTAGCTGTGATTATGTTGCTTGTTAGTAAAAGGTTATTTCATAAGGGCCTCCAATCCTATGCGCTGCGTGCATGTGTCCCGATTGATCTGATGAGCCTCATGGGTGCTTTTGCCACTGGAAGCTGCAGGAAAGTGTTAACATCGGTGTATGTCATCCTCGTTGTTCTTGCAGTGTCTGTTTATGTCATGATTCAAGTCCTGGTTCTGACATTTGCCAAGGACAAGGTGAATGATTTCCTGGAAAGGATGTTCAGCATAGGGGCTTTTGAGCGCCAACATACATCCATAAATCATGAGAGAAGTATCAGGATTAGGAAGAGAACTAGCACAAATGGCGCAAAGATTTGATGCTCATTGGAACTCTAGCAGTTACTGTCACATACCAAGCTGCACTGCTCCCACCAGGTGGGATCTGGCCTGATGACCAGGAAGGCCATTTTGCTGGTGATCCAATTCTTCTTGATACCCACCCAAGACGGTATAAGGTATTCTTCTATTACAATGCCACAACATTCATGGCGTCGATAGTCATGGTAATTTTCTTGTTGAACAATGCAATAAGCAAGTACAAGAGATCTCTCCTTGCCATGAAAACAGCAATGGTATTGGACTTGCTCGGTCTGCTCGGTGCATATGCTGCAGGCAGCTGCAGGAAGTTGAAGACATCTGCTTACATTTTGGTGCTTGTCATTGCCGTGTTCATCTACATTGTAATGCATGTATTGTTGTCATTTGACAAGGTGGCTTTATTGGTGAGAAGAATGTAAGACATAATCTGCTGCTGATCTCTCTCTCTCTCTCTCTCTTGCTGCAGCAAAGTTGGCATTTGGTCAGCTCGGCTGTCCAGTCTCTACTGCTGTAGCAGTATGGCAATAGGCCACCTTTAGTACATTAGTTGATAGCTATTACATCAGCCATGTCTTGGTAGTGGGCTGACCTAAGTTTTGTACTGCTAGTACTAGGAGTAGTTGGTGTACCTTAGAAGTAGGTAGTTGGTGTACTTACCAACAACTATATACCTGATATAGGTACTAGCACTTGTATATATATCACACCTAAGGCAATGCAAAAGAGTAGTTCAATTTGCCACATCCAGAAGCAGAGCTTTCGGCCAGCGCTGGGCTTGTGCTATGTGTGTGTGAGCTATTCTCAATATCTTCTACCTCTAGCCACAGTGAGTGAGTGTGCTGGTAAGCTTACTGCTTACCTGTGCAGGACAGCCAAGGGACCAACAAGTGGTATCAGAGCCATACAAGCATCGTCGTCGGACTAACCACTGGCGATGACGGACGGTTCGGAGATGGGCGACAGCAGCGGCGCTGCTGTGGCTGCCCAGCCATGATAGGAGGTCATCGTGCGCATGGTGCGGGAGGTCAGCGGCACCAGTTGGCCGACGCTGACTCGCACCAACTATGGCGAGTGGGCGGTGACCATGAAGGTCAAGCTCAGAGCCCGACGGCTCTGGAATGCCATTGACAATGGCATCGACAACGAAGAAGACGACATGTCAGCGTTGGAGGCTATCCTCGCTGTTGTGCCAGCGGAGTACAGGAAGTCGTTGGGGGTGAAGAACTCTGCTAAGGAGGCGTGGGAGGCCATTGCAGCGATGCGCATCGGCTCCGACCGCGCAAAGAAGGCGACGACCCAGCTGCTGAAGCAGGAATACGCCAACCTCAAGTTCAAGGATGGTGAGTTGGTGGAGGACTTCTCCCTCCGCCTGTAGTCGCTCATTGAGGAGCCACGACGTCACCATCGATGACGAAGAGGCGGTCTCCAAGTACCTCCACTATGTGCCGATGAAGTACATCTAGATCGCTCTCTCCATAGAGACGATGCTGGACTTATCCACCCTCACCATTGAGGATGTGACAGGCCATCTACGGGCGGTGGACGAGCGTATGGAGCAGGCCACAACAACGACTGACAGCGGCAAGCTGCTGCTAATAGAGGAGTGGGCTATCCGGATGAAGGAGAAGAAGTCCGGGGAAGCCTTCTCCAACCGCGGTGGCGATGGCAAGCGCCGCAGCAAGGCTTCTTCGGAGAAGAAGAAGAAGGTCGACCTCAACACCTGCTGGCGCTGCGGGAAGACGGGCCATTGGGCAAAGGAGTGCCCAAATCGTAAGTAGGAGAAGGCTGAGACTCATTTAGCGCAGGCTAATGAGGATGATGAGGCCACTCTCCTAATGGTGACGTTCTGTGCACTGCACGATGTTGAGGCCAAGGAGAAAGGAGGGGTGATGGCGGTGGAAGGGCATGGCAAGGCTCTGAAGGCTATCAACCTCGATGAACTGCGCACCCAAGTCCACCTCGAACGTGTGGGCGACGAGCAGGAGCAGTGGTGGTACCTGGACTCTGGCGCCAGCAACCACATGACGGGCTCCAAGGAAGCCTTCTCTGAGCTCGACAGCAACGTGACCGGCACGGTGAAGTTCGGTGACGGCTCAAGGGTGGCGATCTGAGGGCGCAAGTACTTCATCTTACTGGTGGATGACTGCAGCCGGTTCATGTGGTTGCAGCTTCTGACCAGCAAGACCGAGGCAGTGGAAGTGGTCAAGAAGTTCAAGGCGCGCGTGGAGGCGGATAGCGGCAAGAAGCTGCGCGTTGCGGACTGATCGCGGCGGCAAATTCACTTCAGTGGAGTTCGCTGCGTACTACACTGATCAGGGTGTGGTGCGACACCACACCGCGCCTTACTCGCCACAGCAGAATGGCGTGGTGGAGCGGCGAAACCAGATGGTGGTCGGCATGGCTCGATCCATGATGAAGGCCAAAAGTACACCGACAAAGTTCTAGGGAGAGGCGGTGACCACGGCGGTGTTCATCCTCAACCGCGCGCCCACCAAGGCCCTAAAGGGCAAGACACCGTTCAACGCTTGGCATGGACGCAAGTCGAATGTGTCCTTCCTTAGGACATTTGGCTGTGTCGGCCATGTGAAGAATACCAAGCCTCACCTCGGCAAGCTAGAAGACAGGAGCACACCGATGGTGCTCCTAGGCTATGAGGAGGACACCAAGGTGTATTGGCTCTATGATCCCAAGAGAGGCAAGGTGGTGATCTCTAGGGACATGGTGTTCGATGAGATGGTGGCCTCGGACTGGGAGGGTTCGAGCATGGGGGAAGCTAGAAGCTCGAGCAGCACCTTCGTCGTCGAACACTTAGTCATCCACGGTGGTGGAGACGCTGGAGAAGAGGTGCCGACCACCCCAAGAGTGGTGCCGAGCGGTCCAGCAGCAATGCCGAGTGTAAGGTCGAGATGACGACTAGAGGGGGGGGGGTGAATAGTCGTTTCTAAAACTTAATCGCACCGGCTTACCGAAACAAGTGCGGAATTAAAACTATCGGTCTAGCCAAGACTACACCCCTCTATCTAAGTTTACAAACACCTTATAAAGATCCTAATTAGACAACAAAGGTGCTGGGCTAGTTAGAGCTCACCTAACCAATTCTAGACACAAATCTATGCCACTGGTACTTCAAGTAACAAGGGAGCTCCTACACATGCTAGTAAGCAAAAGCACAAGGCCACCTAAGTTCACTAGCAATGCTCAATAACAAGACAACCAATGCCAAATTAGAGAGTGCAAATGCTTAGCTACACAAACTAAGCAATGTGACTAACAAGGTTACACAAACCAGATTAGCCACGTAAGGGAGCTACTTCTATGCTACACAAGCAAGAAGATAACTAGTGAGCTATACAAGCTAACTAATTACAAGAGCAACTACACAAGCACAATGTATATGAAAGTAATCACAAGCTTGTGTAAGGGGATTGCAAACCAATGGGAAGAACAAAGTTGACACGGTGATTTTTCTTCCGAGGTTCACGTGCTTGTCAACACGCTAGTCCCCGTTGTGTCGACCGCTCACTTGGTGGTTCACGGCTAATTGGCATCACCCGCCAAGCCCGCACATCAGGCACCGCAAGAACCTACCCTGAAAGTGAGGGTAGCTCAATGACACGCTTTACTAGAGTTGCTCTTCGTGGCTCCCGCGGGGCGAGCATAATGCCCCTCACAAAGCTCTTCTCTGGAGCACCGCACAAGCTTCTTGTGGGCTTCGACAGAGACCACCACCAAGCCGTCTAGGAGGTGGCAACCTCCAAGAGTAACAAGCACCACCGGCTTGTAACTCGATCACCTAGTGCCACTCAATGCAACCTCACGATGCAATCGCACTAGAATCGCTCTCTCACACAATCGAATGATCACTATCAAGCATATGTGAGATGGAGGACTCCCAAGCACTCTAAAGCATGGACACAAAGTCCCCCAAGGTGCTCAGCCCCAACCATGGCCAAGACCACCTTCTATTTATAGCCCCATGGGCTAAACTAGCCGTTACCCCTTTATTGGGCAAATTTTGGGATGACCGGACGCACAGGTCGTTTGCACCAGACGCGTCCGATTGATCGGACGCGTCCAGTCGCCTGCATTCGGTCGTAGCTGACCCACCGCGTGTCCCATTCAAACTAGCCGTTGCCGCCAATGGCTCTCTCTGACATGTCGCATCGGACGCGCTGTTCGAAACGACCGGACGCTGAGCCGTAGCGTCCGGTCGAGTCCAGTAAGCTCCCAAGGCCGACCGGACGCACTGTTAGAAAATGACCAGACACTGAGCCTCAGCGTCTGGTCGAGTCCAGTAAGCTCCTAGGCCTGACCGAACGTGTCCGGTCACTCCGGACCGGACGCTCCCAGCGTCCGATCAACTGTTACACTAAACATCGACTTCGCTGATTCACATCGGATGCGTCCGGTGTGGCGGCCGGACGTCCGGCCGCTCTCTGCAATGCAGTACTGAGCCACATATCAGACGTGTTCGGTCGCTATACCGGACGCATCCGGTCGCTATACCGGACGCGTCCGGTCACTCTGTGATCAGCGCGACTAACTCCTCTTCAACTCTATCTTCTTCTCCTTTGCAAGTGTGCCAACACCACCAAGTGTACACCACTATGTGTATGTGTGTTATCTTTTCACAAACATTTTTTAAAGGATTCACCACTCAATTTGCCACTCCACTCAATCCTAGCGACGATGCAAAGTTAGATCACTTGAGTGGCACTAGATGATCGATATGCAAACAAGTTTGCCCCTCTTGATAGTACGGTCATCTATCCTAAACCCGATCATCAACTTCTCTACACACCTATGATCGGTGAAATGAAATGCCCTAGGTTATACCTTTACCTTGCGCATTCCATTCCATCTCCTCTAATGTCGATGCAATAAATGCACCAACACAATCAACAATGATATGATCCACTTCATATCATCACGTGATCATATTGGTTCATCAATCTTGACTTCACTTGCTTTTCACCGTTGCCTTCGTCTATCGGCGCCAAGTCTCAATAAAGCTTCACCGCCATTCGGTCCATCGCTCCAAAGCCTCCAATTTGTCCTTCACGCTTGCAACCGGTCCATCAAGCCAAGTCATGTCTTGATCTTCTCCACCTTGATCATATGACTCAATGTCATGTCTCATTTGCAATGAGCTCCTTCATCATCACATGTGTGAGCTTTGCAACATCTCCAAGCTATTTTCACCTTCATGGCATATGTTGCTCACACACATGTACCTGTGGACTAATCACCTGTGTATCTCACATAAAGACAATTAGTCCACCTAGGTTGTCACTCAATTACCAAAACCACACAAGGACCTTTCATCGAGCGGTCCAGCAGCGATGCCGACCACTCTGGCAGAACAGGGAGGCCATGGACCACTGATCGAGTTCACCTCTCCACCCACCGACATTGACGA